GAACAGCATGTTTTCGATGAGACAGTTCCCTATTAATGACACAGAGGGCGCCTATAGCCAAATCTAATAATATTTTTAAAACGAAGGAATTTGGAGTCACGCCACGGCCACGCGATGTGAAGCCGGTTGTTCACATTTATAAGCAAATTCCTGGTTAAACCCAGGGAAAATGTATATTCGGACTTTAATACTAGACAATTGGATATGAAAATACTAGTCGCAGTGGATGTTTGAAAGTCAGAATTTCTAGATGCATATGTATGCTATTTATAGCCATGAAACTTATAATTTAGATTTTATTTTTATTATTTGTCTCTTAATATTCATTAGCTGAAAATAAGGGTAAAGGTTATCTATATAGTAATAAATAAAATTTGGCACATAGGTTCCTTAAGTGATGTAAATGAGCACTAAGAAAGGATTTTTTGAAAATTCGACCGCTATGGGGGTGAAATTAGGGATGAAAGGCTGCATAAAAATTTGTTAAAATCTGGTTTAAGAGTATGAAATTTTTCACGAGTGCTGCTTGATTGACGTAATTGAACACTAAGGGGCAATTTTTGTAAATTCGCTCTTTAAGGGGGTGATATGAGGGGTACTTTTGTATACAAAAAAAGCATGTCCTAGGACTACGAAATTTTGCACAGAGGTGCCTTAAGTAGCGTAACTTAACACTTCAAAGCGATTTTAGGAAATTCTTCTCCTAAGGGGTGAAACTGGGGGTGAAATTTTGCATATTTTTTTAAAATTAGTCCGAGGAGTTTGAAATTTGGAAATTGTTAATTAAGTGACGAAAGTGAGTACTCAGAAGCGAATTTTGGACATTCATCCCATAAGAAATAAGGGATGAAAATTGGTATAAAAATTTGTTAAAATCGGTTTTAGAAGTATGAAATTCTGCGTAGACGTTCCTTATGTAACTTAATTTAGCACTAAGAGGCAATTTTAGGAAATTTGCCCTCTAAGGGGGTGAAATAAAGGGTGAACGTTCTGAAAAAAATCTGTCCTAGAAGTATGAAAATTTGCACAGAGGTTCATCAAGTGATGAAAGTTATACTCAGAAGCGAATTTTGGGCATAAGGGATGAAAATATGTACAAAAATTTGTTAAAATCGGTTTTAGAAGTATAAAATTCTTCGCAGACGTTCCTTATATAAGGTAATTTAGCACTAAGAAGCAATTTTTAGAAACTTTCCCTCTAAGGGGGTGAAATGAGGGGTGAACGTTCTGAAAAAAATCTGTCCTAGAAGTATGAAAATTTACACAGAGGTTCCTCAAGTGATGAAAGTGACTACTCAGAAGCGAATTTTAGGCATTCGCCCCATAAGAATTAAGGGATGAAAATTTGTACAAAAATTCATTAAAATCGGTCTTGGAAGTATGAAATTTTGCGCAGACGTATCTTATGTAACGTAATTTAGCACTAAGGAACAATTTTTGGAAATTCGCCCTCTAACGGGGTGAAATGAGGTATGGACGTTCTGAAAAAAAATTGCTTGTTATTGCTAAATTACGTTACATAAGGAACAAACAGAATTTCATACTTCTAAACCCGATTTTAACAAATGTTTGTACAAATTTTCATCCCTTATTTCACTCTCTTAGGAGATTAATGTCCAATATCCATCTGTACAAAATTCCACACTCTGTTCCGGACTGTTAATTTTAACTAACAATTTATTAAAGGGCAACTATATAAAAAATATAAAAATTATACAGGGTGGCGCCTCTCATACGACTCAGAGGCTCCAAGGAGAACGACGAGTTCGTATTGAAATGAAATTTTTTGAGCATATGTAAGTTAATTCTGAGCACGTTTTAAAAATATAGAGAGTTCTACACGGTGTCCCCAAAAAAAGTTTGGAATACCCCCTTTATTAATTAATTTTTAGATTCTAAGAGAAAAATAAAAGTGAGTTTTATTGGGGAAGTATATGACTGAAATGTAAGGTTTTAGACTTACTTAAGATTTTCTAAAAATGAAGAACAATTTTTAAATTTCAAGAAAAACTACCTAAATTGGAATTTACTCTATTGCACTTTAAATCAAATTAAAACCTGACCCATAAAGTTATACAGGGTGAGGCAAAATTAATGCTGAACATTGGTATAACCTGTATAAATCTTTTAATACCCACCCTGTATAACTCCTTTAGTTAATTGAATCACCCAGAATATTATTCCGATATTCAATGGGAAATTCATGTCACTTCAAAATACTATTAAGGTTGCCGGCCTACCCCTGAAACAAACATTTTCCTAGATATTTTCATTTCTATGATTTAGTGTGAATAGATCTTTATTATTTGATAAAATCTAGGGTGGCTGTGATATGTCTGACGTTACTTCAACATAGCTGTCAAATTAGTTCAACTTTAGCAACTAGTTATCATTTTGTGTCAGTTCGTCAGAGTTGAAACAAAAAAAAATCTAAGAAATTTTCCGAAAATAGAAACTTATCTACATCAGAGAGAATTGATATGATTCTATTAGTTAGCTCCTGATTTTATCTAGTCTGGGCTTTTTATTTGATTAACATATATCAAATAAAAAAGCCCAGACTAGAAAGTGTTAACAAAACTCGACCAAACCAAACCAAACTATTGTCTGAAACTGCATTTTTTTACTTACTAAATATGAATTTTACATTGTTTTGTTGATCTTTGAAAGGTGTATAAAGTCGAATCATTTTAGATGGGACATTTAAATTTTATGGGATTTTCGGGATTATCGTACAGTATATTCACTAATTGCATTACCTACTTATAATTTATAACAGTTTATATTCACTGATTCATTTATAATTTGCATCCACTTAATATTACTAGATTTATCCATCGTAAACTTTGCATAGATATAGAAATATAATGATGGACAACTCTTAATGTGTTAAATTATACCGTACGATCGAAAAAAAAACGGCGTCCGATTGGTTTGGAAATGACAATCGGTGACATTCCCCATATAATTTTACATATCAAATGACAGCGATCTTCATTTCATAGCCATCGCTGACGCCGTTTTCTTTTTCGATCATACGGTATATAGTAAAAGCCATCGATCACCATTTCTAAGGTAACTTAACGCCGTATTTTTACATACAAAATGTGCAAAAAATTCTATATGAATGAACTCACAATTTTCTATCCACTTTGTACATAAATTAGGATCTCTTGACGCATGAAACTTAAACATATGTACACGTGATTTCCGAGAAATCCCACAATTGTAAAATTGACACTTATTACCAGACATTTTAATAATAATTATCACTAATCACACAGTTGTAATCAAAGACAGTCAAAGGTATATAGTATATTACCATCACAGATTACCATATATTACCCGGCTTTAAAAATATCCATTAAAAACAAAAGACAGTAACGACATATCTAAATCTTCTATCTTTGTCGCATATGGTTCGTTCCTGTATTATTCTGTGATAAGGGAAGGAATAGAGATTTTCTGTGATAAGTGGTAAAGCTAGGTTTTCATATGTACAAATTTGGCAAACTTTCCAGGAAATTCGGTCATATTTTTATTATAAAATTATGTTATTAAAAGAAATTTATTATAAAAAAAAAATTTGAACGTATATTCAAATTTTAAACGTTTCAATTAATAAAAAACGTAAATCACTTCTAAATTAAATTTAAGAAAAAAAATCAAAATTAATAAAACGTAAATCACTTTTGAACAAATCATTATTTTAATTTCAAATTTATATTTCGAAGTTATATTACAAGTTATTTACTGTTGTCTTATACAGAGTATATCAAGACAAATGCGAAACTTTAAGTGGTGTATTCTTTGTTATTTGTCAACATTTTTAAAATAAGCTGAAGAAGTTGAAATAAACTATTTCTAATATTCGTTAATTTGTCAAAAAACTGGAGCAACGATATGGAAAATATGGATAGATTTGTATATTTAGAACGTTTTTATGACTTGCAATTTTTCCATTAAATTCATTATTTGAAGTTAAAAAAAAAATATAAATCATTATGTATTGGGACCAAAAAAATATTTTAGCAAAGAAGCTGTTCGCCTTAAAAACAGTTTTATTTTCTACTACTGTAAAATATTTTTACAAACGACATATAAAGATAACACAGATGGGAATACATATTATACCGTATGATCGAAAAAAAACGGCGTCCAGTTGGCTGGGAAATGGCAATCGATGACATTTCCCATATAAATTTACATTTAAAATGACAGTGATCTTCATTTCATAGCCATCGCTGACGCCGTTTTTTCGATCATATGGTATATCAATAAAGTATTATTAGAAAAGCTCACTAGATTGTTTTCTAGTAAAAAAGACCTTATTTTGTCACAACAGGTGACATTTTTTTGTTTTAAATCAAGTAGGTTTTAAAAAAACTACAATAGGTAAAAAAGTTTCTAAACAAATAGAATATCCAAATTAATTTATTTCCAATGACAATAATGTGTAAGTTTGTAATTAAAGTTAGTTAATAAGAATAATAGGTGTAGTATATTTCAACATCATTCACTGGTTTTAAAAACATCAAAAAATATGCATGTGTTTTCATAGTATAAATATGAATTGTTCCTTACGTTAGTTCTTATTGATATAAAAGCAAAAAAGTATAAAAATTAAAAGCTGCAATTTTATTAAAAATATGTTATTCTAACACATATTTTTTTAACTGTAATGTTCTAAATTGATCAAAATATAAATGTTATTTTTTTCCTAGGAAAAATAAAACTTCATAACTTAATTTTCATAAATAAATTTATTTCTATAAATTTTATAGAGCAATTTGTATTACAGTTTTATTTCACATATTTTGTAATACTGCTTCGGTGCAGTGCCCCATTGCTATCTGTGAGTTCATTTAAACTATGACGACACTACTGATCTAGAAGATAAAAATGTACCTAAGTACCTTAATATTATCATCAAAAATGACTAATTTTGTAAATTATTACCTATAATGGTTAGATGAGTTGTGAATGTAAACTTCTTTACACTGGTTTCTTGAAGTTAGGTGATATTAATTATCTTCGCATCATCATGGGCTCTAATCAACTGTAGAGTATTCGTTAATCAACCTGAAATATGTAATATTATTTACTTTATATTTACGAAAAATTATCATTTTCTTTTTATGAAAATTTTGAGTTTAAATTTAAATGTGATTAGAATAAATATACCTCAGTATTTAACATTTTATCATAGGTAATATTCTATATATTATCTGTGATTTTATGCTAAAATGTTTAGTTTTGTGAAAATATTACTTACCTATAATATTTAAACGAGTTCCTGAATGTACAATTTGTTTATCACGATGTCAAGTTCTAAATCTTGTATTGGTTGTCTAAAACTGTTTGATTTTGCTTAGTTATATTGTATCCTATATTTTAATAAACAAACTCAAAATCATGTTTATAATTACCTTCATCAGCCTTCATATCATTAAAGTTATTATTATCACTTATCATTATCAGTCATTATGTAGTTATTTGTTTATTTGTTGTTGTTTGTTTTTTAAAGATCATTTTTGAGGTTAATGTCATATGAAACTTTTCGTAATTAGGCAACTGGTAAATGACGTGTGACGATAAATTAATAAAATAATAATGAACGTATTAAGTTAAATATTTATATATTAATTTAACATATCTATTTCATGTTTATAAATTACATAATTTTTAATTTGGTATTTGGTATACCTTTAATTTTATATATTCATAATGAAATGAAATATATTTCGATATAACGTTTGGCAACCACGCAACTGAAGTGCAAGCGACATCTGTGCAAGAGAAGCAAAACCTCCCAAAAAAGTTAGAAAAGAAATCTAAAACTTTCAGATTATTCAAATGTCACTCCAATATTTTTCCAAATTGGAGTGAAATTAGGGTGACAATTTTTAACACGTAAGGAGCCATCTGGATTATGTGTTATCTGTGGTAGTAGATTAAATTTAGATGAAAGAGAATTCAGAAAAGATCCAGTGTTTCTCAAAATCTAAGCAGAAAAGCATTTTTTGTTTAAATTTTCAAAGTAAAATAACTCGGTTATTTTGGACTTATTTGAAAAATGGTAAAGAGAAAAAATGTTTCTTTTGACCAGATCTACAACCCCTTAAAATACTTGCACTCATTTCTGGGACGCCCTGTATAATTGCAAAATGGAAAACATAGTGGGCTTTTTCAGGCCACTTAATTCTAAAAATTATAAAATATCACAATTATTACTTTTTTTCCTTCTTACAACAATAATAAAAATATAAATATATATAAGTTATCATTCAGAATATAAAATTTGTTATGTAGCAGATATAAAAATAAAAAAACATTAAAAATTAATAATATTAAAAGGTACACCACACAATTTTAATAAATAGTTAGTTATATTAGAAAATGCATATATATTAAAATATTAAAATAATAATTCTCATGTAATTTAATTTAATTTTAATAAGTGGTACATTTTTTTCAGTTCGGAAATAGTTTCATTAATTTTTATTGCAATATTTTTTTTTACATAAAAAGGAATATTTCTAGACCTTTATATTAATTATTATGTTTATAAACATATATATTATTAAACCCTTATATTATACAATTTTATTAAGTATCTATTAGTTTTTATTTAATGTTTTACAGAAGTTTCAAGACTCAAAGTTATAAAAAATTCTTATGGGTTTTTTGCCACTGCACTGCAAGAAAAATCTACAAAATAAAATAGTTATTTTTTGTAAACACTTCTGGCGTTAAACCTAAATGGACGCTGCTTGTCAGAAGTTGTGTTTACAGTAATAAAAATTTGCCTAACAAAGAAAAAAATGCTTAATGTTTCGGAAAGTTTTCTCTTTCCGTCCTCGAAAGCAAAAAAATATAAAGAATCAAGAAAAAAACTATTTAAAATATTTAAATTGAACTATTCGAGAACACTTTACTTTTTAAAACAGATACGTCTACAAGAAATGGTTGACGTTTTGTTAAAATGTTTTAACAATTTTCTTTACAATTTACAACTTCTCATTACCTTAATAGTATTTATATATTTGCAGTAAGTTAATAACTGTAAACTATTTATGAATAAATTACAAAATATTATTGTAAATTTCTGCTAGGCTTTATTCTAGGTTTTTAAAGAATTACCTTTGTATTTACCTACATATATGTGAAACATTATTTTTATGACTTCAGCTATTAAACTATCTAATCGAACTATGTAGTTTAAGGTTGATTCTCACTGTACCTTCCATATCAGCTCCCTTCCGTTTACATAAAATATTATATCATGTAAATGAATAGGACAATGCACACTATCCGTTCCGTTTCTTTTCCGTTTCATATTCTTTCCTTCCATACATTATTTTGGCGGAAGGACTGAAGCGTATCGGAAACAGCGTTGTAAAGTTCTTACATTTGTACCAGCTCTGTTAATAATTTGCTGATATTTATTTATTCTTTCAACTCTTAATCAAATCTATTACCTTTTTCAAAGGATTCAAATTTTTAAAATAAAACTTTCGTAATTATATAAATTGTAAAATAAAAAGTATGGAACTGATACGGAACGGAAGCTTACATATATCGTCAATAAAATACAAATACGGGACGGATATGGAATGGATATGGAATGGATATGGAATGGATATGGAATGGAAACGGAAGGTATAGTGAGAATCAACCTTTATTATACATCGTTCAGTAAAAATAATATTGAAATGCGTTTTTTCCATGCTAATAACCATTATATTAAAAAAACAAAAATCAAACTTATATTTTGAAGTTTTAATGTCATCGTTTGGCATTTTAATGAGGGCTACAAAAAGCTTTTCATAATTTTTCGAAAATTAGATAATATATATTAAAAACTATACTTTGGATGGGATTTGATCAAAATCCGTTATTAGTGATGTATTAATAAAAACTGTCATTCAAATTTTAATACACTAATTTTATGGCAGGTCTTTATTTGACCTTTTGTTAAGTATAATTGCTACAATAGGAGTCCCACTTTAATTTTACTATATCTATTACATGTTTTTGCCACCTTAGTAGAGGTTCTATCTACAATCTATATTCTATAATCAATTATATAGAACTTTGTAAATTTCGTATACATAAGGAAGATGTATTTGAATTTTTCCTGAAAAAGTGTGACTTTAGATCTTATTAATTTATTTTTGGATATTTAGTTATTGATTATATTTAAGTTTAAATTTATAATTATACTTTAGTGACTAGAATTTAACTATACAGGGCGAGACTTAAACAAGTGCAAATATTTTCAGGGCTGTTAGGTCTCGCTAAAAAACATATTTTCCCTTTACCGTTTTTCAAATAAGTCCAAAATATCCGAGTTGCACATGTTTCAAAATTTAAAAAACAATGTATTTATTTTAAATTTGAGAGTCATCGGATTTTTCTGTATTTGCATCCTTTTTAGTGCTAATTATGGTAATATCATTAGTAATAATATCATTAAGAGTAAGAAATTATACCGTGGAATTTTTTTTGGTGAACAAGCAGTCCTAAAAAGTACTATTTTAATAAATTTATAACGATACTATTGATGGGTTGTTATTTAACTATCTGTTATTTTATAACAATTATTTAGAAATAACATAACGCAACCGTTACTGCTTTTAAAAAATAACAGATATAAAATAAGGACACGCAGAGATCGAGTGTTCGTGAAACGAAGTCGGCGCTCTGCACCGCCACGAAATTCGATGCTGCTCGAAGCAATTCCAAAAAACAACTAGTATGGATGGAAAACCTATTATACGATCAAACGAACTTACCTGAAGTGAAGTTCGATCGTAATTATATGAGGCGTCCAGTCCGCATGTATTATCTTGAATTTTTCTATACGTAGTACCGTTCCTGCGTGCACAATTTTAAAGCTATAAGCTAAATTCCCTCGCGCTACCAGTCTAGGTGGCCGCGCCGGCCCTGGCGCGGCAGTCGGTATTCATTTTCAAAGATTTATTCATTAATTCAAGCGACCATGGGACAAAACGGGAGGGGTGGGAAGATAATACATTCGGACTGGAGCTCATATTAATTACGATCGAACTTCACTTTCAGGTAAGTTTCGTTTGATGTATAGATTATATTCGCGTCCAGTCCGAATGTATTATCTTTGATTTTTCTATACGTAGATGTTAAAACTATGTTGCAAAAATTATTTCTTTATAATATAAAATATAAAACATTTTTTTTATTCTTTTTGATTTTTTTTTTTTTTTTTTATTAAATATTTTAATATGAATGCACCAACTAAGAATGGAAACCAATTGCTAACCAGGCAGGTCAATACATGGATTTATTACAGGATTGTGAAATATTATCTATACATATTTGTATACTAAGCAGAGACAGAAACCCATAAGATGGCACTTCCATAAAGGATTCTGCCAAAATTGTTCATTTATACTTTATAAACCAGTTAACTCATCCGTGTCGATAGAAATTTCTGTCTCAATGTAGAACTGTGTGGATAACTCGACTATAGTGAGGTTTAACCGATATATAAGTATATATTATATATATATATATATATATATATAATATATATATATATATATATATATATATATATATATATATATATATATATAAGGTGTTTATAACCCTTGCTTAATATTTAAAAGGCCTTACTTTTTAAGCCTTTAGTAAGAATTAAGATTCTCATAATTTATATTTCCAAAAGGCTTTAATTACGTCGATGAATTAAACCAGAGTCATCATATATATTCGGTTTCGATCCATACATTTATGGATATTGTGGACATTGATATACAAGTAGATCCACAGATATTTGATCTGGTGTCAATTTTTTAATCACTAAACCAGGGTCAGCCATACTATTTAATATTTAATTATTTTTGTTATTATTGATATTTTTTTTTTTAATAGAGAACGAAGAAAAAAATGCTTAATTAGTAGCTAATAACCGACATTATTCAAATATAATAATATTAATATTATATAAAATAATATAATATTATATATTATATATAATATATATATAGGAATAGATATATATAGATACTTATATATAGTCCACAATATCCATACATTGGTATGGATATTGTGGACATTGATATAAAATAGACAGACACAGATATTGATGCTGTTGGTCAAAATTTTTATAACCTGGTTAGAAGTTTATTTTATTTGTATTATTTTTTTTAATTAGAGAGAAAAAAGAACAAAAAAAAATGAGATAAAACATGATATAATATTATAGTATAAATATATATATATAATATATTATATTCATATTATAAGTAGTATATATATATTCTATATATAATATTATCGAACTGTGTTGTTCCTCTCCGGATTTTCTTTGTCCGTGAGACAAAGTTTCGTACTACGAGTAATAAGGATTTGTGGGAATATCTATGTAACTCTGCAAGTAGACAGATTCCCACGCGTAGCGTGGGGTGGTGCGTTGTTTTTCTTAAATAATTTTTAAGTTTTTTTTTTTTTTTTTGAAAACTTTTTAGAAGTGTTTT